CCACCCCCCCCCCCCCCCCGGCGTGTTTTTTTTTTTCCTGTGCTCTTGTTGCGGGTCTTCTGAGAGACTGATCACAGCTCTGACTGATGCACACCAGGCAGAAGTTAATGCGGCTGCCGGAGACGTTATGATTCCCGGGAGGATTCCCGCCGCCCCTGCAGCCGTGTGTCTGATCCAGCGGCGGCCGCGCTCGCGCCGCGTGAGGGGGTGGGAGATGACATCGGGACGGGGGCGGAAGAGACCGGAGGGGCTCGTCTTACCGTGAAACTTTCTCTCTCGCTTTAACGCAGGCCTACGCACAACGCGCGCTGCAGACACTGCAGGTCCGCTTCCATCTCTGACACACGTGACTTGCTCCTATGGGGTCTTGCGAGGGCCAGATGGGGGTGATGCGGATCCTGAGGCGTTTAATTGAGAGGCCACAGTCTTAATTAAGTAGCAGCATGAATGTTGATGAGTGGCGTCGGATTGTTCCATCCGCAACTCACTCAATAACTCAACCGCAGTTCAGAGGAAGCAAGCGAAATAATGAGCAACTTGAGGCTTTCGGAGCGGAACCCGGGACGGTCCGCCAACAGACATTAAAAACACGTTATTGTGCAAACGTACGTTGAGTGTGTGTGCGATTTAAAGAGACGCGCTCTAAAAGCCTGTCAGTGCGTTCATTTCTCCGTCTGATTCATGCGTCGTATGTCATTCGCTACTTTGGAGACTCGAACGCTCGTCGTCGAGCATTTGGTTTGCAACATCTTCAGCCCACTTTTGCGGTCGACTGGCCAGATGTCCTGAAGAGCTTGTTTTTAATCCGAATCCACACCGTGAGCTCCTCTGTTCTGGCCACTCACACGTCATCTGGTCAAATCGTCTGTCAAAAGCTGATTTCTCGGCCCCCACATCCTTCTTTTATTACCAGACTCTTGCAGTGGAAACGAGTGTGTTCGGGTCCTTGACTGTCTGTTAGCTGTGAAACTCTATCCCAGGCAGCGCATCTACAAATTAGGCCTGGGTGATATTTAGCTAAATAATGTTCTAAATTGATCATTTTCAGCCTTTATTTCTTTCTCTAGCTGATGTTCTTAAATGGCCTAAAAGGGTGACTTTATTTGTAGTTTAGTTGTTGTAAGATTAAAAATATTTATTTAACAATAAAATGCAATAAAATCTTAAGGCATGTTTCTCACACTGTTTAATTAACTCATTAATTACTTTAACAATAGTGTTTTATAATTGAATTTATAAGCACACATATCAGTACAAATATACATTTAGGTTAAGCATTGTAATACACCATCGTCAGATTTTTAAAAATGTTTTTGATGCTCACCAAGGCTGCATTTATTTGATCAAAAATACAGTAAAAAAATAATATTGTGAAATACTGTTACAATTTAAATTAACTGTTTTCTTTTTGAATATATTTTACATTTCCAGCATCATTACTCCAGATTTCGGTGTCATTTTAATATGCTGATTTGATGAAGAAATCAAGAAACGTTTATTATTATTGTTGAAAACATTTGTGATACTTTTTTCAGGGTTTTTTGATGAATAGAAAGTTTAAAAGAACAGCATTTATTTGAAATAGAATTCCTTTTGTTAAACGCATTTGAAATGACTTTTGATCAATTTAATCCACACTTTCTGAATAAAAGTATCAATTTCATCAAAAAAAAAAAAACTTTTAATTGATAGCGTTTCATATGCAATATAACAAAGTGATAAATGGCAATATATATTCTTTCTAAAACATCCAGATATATTAAAAAAAATTACTGAATTAATTATTGAATTTGAGTTCATGGATTAACAGACAGTTTGAATTGATTCATTTTTGTTTGTTAGAATCAGAGACACTTGAAACATCTGTTTTAATGTTTTTATACTCACAAATTGCAATGCAAGGGAGAAAATTAACTGGTATGATGATAGGGATATGCCGGTTTCACTTTACAATAAGACCTCATTAGTTAACCTTAGTTAATGCATTAACATTCACAATGAGCAATAGCTACATTTGCTACAGAAGTTATTAATCTTTGTTTAAAAAATACGAGTCTTAGTTCATGTTAGCTCATTAAATAACACAGTTGCAACTTTCGATTTTAACAACATGTTATTAAATATTGGAATACCTAAGATTAATGAATGTTCAGAAGAATTTTCATTGGCAGTTTGTTAACTAATGAATTAACTAATGTTAACTAATGAAGTCCTAATGTAAAGTGTGACCGAACAATAAAGAATCAAAACACTTTCAAACAATATCTAGAGCATGTTGTAGTCCAGATTAAAATGTAAAAAAAGTTTGAAAATAAATAGTATTTAGAAGTGCCCACGATAACAATATCGTGCATATTCATTACCCTGATATATTGCATTACCGAATACCGGCACAAGTCTATATGATTACACTGAAACGTGATGAAAGTACTCGTGATACTCACAATTTTGTAATGGCAGCAAATGCATTTTGAATACATTTGATACAGCTGCTCAACCTAACAGGTCACATGCTGATTTGGCCTGCGGTTTAATGACTCAGAACAACCAGTGTTCCTTCCTTTCCAAAACTCTGCTTCAGCTTGTTTTTAGATCTTCAGCGCTAGCGGAAAAATTGGCCATCCCTCGGGCTGCACGAGGCATTAAGGAACACGGGGCTCGAGCGTCTTGATGTGGATTTAACTGGACTTCAGGGAGGAAGTGTTTCACTTAGCTCTGCAGTCCAAGAGATAGCGGGACGTTAAGGAGCCGTAAATCAGCACAGGTTGCTCACCTGCCCCATCTCGGGCTCGTGGGAGACGCGGCGGCTCAAAGCTGCTCTTCCTCTCGACCCTGTTAGGAGGCTTTCAGTCCGTTTGGCCTTCTCGTGACTGATGGGCTGTGGTAAATAACAGGCGGTGCTGTGAGCTTTCATCCCCGCTGTCCCGGCGTCTCGGGCAGGATGTGAGGTTCTGGTGACTGCTTTTCAACGGCACATGTGTAAATCACGCAGAGGAAGTTTGTGCGCAAAATGAAATAAACCGCATATCTGAAACATGTACACTGTCATGCTGCCATAAAAAGACGGTGTCTGGAAAATGCTGTACTGAAGTATGTTTTTCTACAACAGCATTAAATAACTGGCTGCTTGTATACCTGTACTGAAAAAGTGAAAACCTGGCCGGTTCATATATCAGTTCATTTTGCAGAAATTAAATTAAGCCTTTTTAAGCAAAATTTGCATAGTTTTAATCATTTTAATGACAATTAAGCACAATGTTTTTTCTAAAAATATTTTGATTCAGTTTTAAATTTTTATAATTGAATTAGTTGTTTTTGTATTATGTTAAACTACATGAAAATGAGAAATGTTGCTTTGGCATATATGGCAAAATTTTTCAGATTTTTTTAGTTAACATTTATTTTATTTCACATAATAAAATGTTTTTTGTGGTTTTAGTTATAGTAAACCTGGTACATACCAGATGCATACGTTATTATGCTAATAAGTAGTGCTTGTTACATTACAAAATGACTTGGACAAATTACATAAGTTGCATACAGTTATGCTACTGTATGTCTACTATACTACTACACTGAACACAATTATAAACGCAACACTTGTTTTTGCCCCCATTTTTCATGAGCTGAACTCAAAGACCTAAGACTTTTTCTAAGACTTTTTCTATGTACACAAAAGGCCTATTTCTCTCAAATATTGTTCACAAATCTGTGTTAGTGAGCACTTCTCCTTTGCCGAGATAATCCATCCACCTCACAGGTGTGGCATATCAAGATGCTGATTAGACAGCATGATTATTGCACAGGTGTGCCTTAGGCTGGCCACAATAAAAGGCCACTCTAAAATGTGCAGTTTTACTGTATTGGGGGGGTCCGAAAACCAGTCAGTATCTGGTGTGAGTGTGACCACCCAAAAGTGTTGCGTTTATAATTTTGTTCAGTGTATATATCCTACTGTTACTAGTTTCAGAACAATGTAAATAAAGCAACTTGAACAATGTAAATAAAAGTAACTTGTACTGATTATGTATTCTATTTTTTTCTTGATTCTTGTTCTGCAAAAAGAAAATGCAACAAATACAACAATTGAAAGTATAAATACATTGAATAAAAAATAAGATTCATAATTTTTATCTTTGAAATTGAGGAAATGGTCTTTCTCACATTACAAATGTGAATTTAATTGGTAAGGAAAAAGTAAGAATGTAAGAAATGTAAAATTAAGAAAAAAAAACTTTTTAAATGCTCAGTTTTTATAGTCTATTTTATTCTGTTTATAGAAAATATTTGTCTGTGTTTGAATACATAATCTAAGGTTTCGGAAACAGCTAATGTTGTTGTTTAATTTTTTTGTACAGACTGATGGCCAAAATTCAAAGGAAGAGAAGAAAAAGAAGAAAGCTGCTGGAAAGGAGGGAGGAGAGGAAAGTGTTGCATCCGTCAGAGACAGCGGCCTCCAGATTTCCTCTCAGGTGGACGAGTATGAGCACGACACATCCGATGAGGAGGTAAGAATCTGTCCATCATCCAGACCAATGTCCAGCCCGCAGACCAGGACAAGCTCGTTCCATGTCAGAACAATCAACATCTCATAAATCTGTCAGATTTAGTTTGAAGTCTATTTTTCCACAGCTGTCCATGGCTGGGAGAGATTTTAAAAATATTGTCCTTTAAAATGTACCGAGGTAACTGTCGTTTTCACCAAAATACCATAGCTACAGTGGTAAAATTGTAGTAATGTGATATTGGCAGCCACTAGCATAACACGATGTTTCTGAAAAGTTTTGAAGGAGATTCCATATTTACTTATGGAAGTGCAGTAGTGATTAAACCATTTTTGTAGGAACAAAGTGTGAGACTGTATTGAAACCGTATTTCTTTTGACATAGAAATAAGCTGTTTTTGGATTTTTAAATTTTTTTAAATGAGAAATATTGGAAATTCTGCACTTTAAGCAAACAATGCTCTTTGGATCACCTCAAATCATGCTGAAGAACGTGATCATCAGGTTTTGTTGATGTCAGCTCCAGTGGTGCTCTAATTAAATGTTTTAATTCAGCTCTTCACTCAAATTTTCATGCAACTTCTAACATCACAATCATTTTGTAATCAAAATGTTGTTTTCAATTTGAAAAGAATAGTTCACCTGTGGTCTCAGACTGTTGGATGTTCGATGTATTTCTTCTTTTCAGGTCACTGAAAATCCATGGAAATGTTTTTTGTGCTCAACTCTTATTTCCATTAAATTCCAGTTTCCAGTTCAGCGAGTCTGAATATCACCATTGTGTCCAGGTGTTGGTGCACCTGCATCTGTTGCGATGTGTCCTTTGCATGCTGTCCTCCTATCATTTGTTTCCAGATGGCCATTTGACTTTCAACTCTTTTGACTTTTGTTTGGATGCATAACAAATGTATAATTTGACTACTTGAGGGAATTTTGGACTCTTTATGCACAAACTGAGTGAAATACCAGCTTAATTTCACAAAAAACTAGATGGCAGAAATGCATAGTTTCACCATTCGTGGAGTTTCTTAGTGAGTTAGAGTGAGTTTTATTCAGGTATCTTAGATTAGGTAATGACAGCTGAGGTCAAAGTCACTCTTTAGCGTAACAATAGAGGAATAGTTCACCCAAAAATGAAACATTTTTGAAAATTTACTCTCAGGACATCCAAGATTTAGATCATCGGTGGATCATTTGCAGTGAATGGGTGCCGTCAGAATGTGAGTCCAAACAGCTGATAAAAACATCACAATAATCCACATTTAGAACAGGTTTGGACCGTTTTCTCTTAAAAACGGTGATTGATCTGTGCATATTTCTCTCCTGATTCAGACAAGAATGACTTTTTTACTGGAGAAAGCAATATTATGAATGGAGGACTTGTATTTTAGCCGGAAGCAACGGCTCAAATTTTGAAAAACATATATAATTGTGGATTTGTTTCTTACAAACATGTTAATTGATGGACTAGAGTAATGTGGATTACTTGTGAATTATTGTGAGGTTTTTATCAGCTGTTTAGACTCATTCTGACGGCACCCATTCACTGCAGAGGATCCACTGGTGAGCAAGTGATGTAATTTCTCCAAATCTGTTAAAAAAACTAACTCGTCTACATCTTGGATGGCCTGAGGGCAAGTACATTTTCAATTTCATGTTTGGGTAAAGTGTTCCTTTAAAGGAGTAATAATGTAAATCTATTGCTTGATGTTTCTTGAATGACATGACACTTAATAACTTCTGAATGACAAGTAGACTAAAGATGATTTAATTAAATCTAAATATAGCAGTGGCTTTTTCTGCTACGTTTGCACAGGCATGAGTACTTCATTGTTCCGTAGAGGGGAATATGGTTAGTTGTGTAATGTTTCATGTAAAGGAAAAATATTTTTGTCCTGTTCCCCAGGCTTGAAGTGTCTGAACCGCAGTATTTGATACCATTCTCTTCAGCCTGTCAGACGTTACCACATTTCTGTAGTGTCTCTGTTGGCTTTTTCGAGGGGAGACCATGATGCACCTCTGCAGTATAAGGAGCTCTGTAACATCTCATATTTACATGTAGGACCATTAAAGAATTCCTCTTCAGCTCTTTAATTTACATGCCCCATTGAAAACCGTTGAACCCTGGCACAATGCGGTCTGGATAATTTGCCAGGCCATACAGCCTAAACACTGCAGCCATCCAAAACTGTTCTTGGCAATCTGCTACCAACCAGGAATGTTTTGCAGAAGTGTTATTGTTCTTGGGTAGATCCCCGATTTCAGAGTGACTTTTTAATGCCCCTTCGTAGTCGTTCAGAACAGATCAGGAACGCTGACTACCATCGTTATTTAGTTTATAAAAGTTCACATATTTTGCATTTCTGTGTCTTTGGAGGCTTTGCTCTAGTTCTTTTCATTTAACGACAACATGAAATCAAAGTTGTGCTTGTTTACTTGCTGCGTAAATGTCATTTGTGTTGTTGTGGACCATTTATCAATGTTATCGTAAAAGAGCAAAAAAGAGGGGCTTGCTCGTAGGACTTGGTTTCAGCAATGATTTGTCTATTGCACTCAATCATTTTTTGCAAAAGTGCTGCTTTTTTGATGATTTTTGATTGCCGTGCTTTAGATATAGTTTTTACTGTCTGATTTATGTTTTAGTTATAGTTTTCATATTTTCATGAAAGTGTCCTTTATATTTAGTCAATATTTTTGACATGCAATACAGATTCATTTTAGTCCAATGTTATTTTTTACTTATTTTATTCAGTGAAAATAAGTTTAGTTCACAATAATGTGCAAAATGATGAAAAAATAAATTAACCAAATATTTGACAATTATTAAAACATTTATGAAGTAGTTAAATTGATATTTTAAAAGAACATAAAAAGGTTTCATGTGTCCAACTACAAATTTTATGTATAATGATAATGTTGCTGATAGGAGTCCATTTCAGCAGTGATTTGTCTTGACATTTATTATTAAAGTCAATGAATTTGTTACAAAAGCAGCTCTTTTTTGCGTGAATGTAGAGGTGCAATTTCTTTGAGAGGATTTTTAATTATGGTTTTATAGTCAAAGTCATAGTTTTCATTATTTGTTGTAAATGTCCTTTAAATTTAGTCAGTATTTTGTTACGTCAAGTATTAACTTTAGTTAATTTTACTAATATTTTATACATATTTACATATTTTATCGCTTTAATATAGACATAGAAAATAACAGTTTAGTTTAGGGCTGCACGATAAATCGCATGCAATATTTAATGCGCATCTTGTCAGTAAAGCCAGTTCTGTAACCGCTGTAAATCTCCATCACGTGCGTGTTTTCACATGGAGCAGCATTTACTACACAGAGCCGTTGTTCACTGACAAGCTGCGCAAAATATGATCGTGGATATTTATCAGTATTATCATAAAAGAACAAATAAGTTTCATGTGTACAACTGCAGATCATGCGTAATTAGGGCTGGGTATTGAGTTCGATACTTTTTAGGCACCGACCGAATTGCCTCGATACCATCGAGTATCGAAAAACGTCTCGTCGTTCGGTACCTGCGTAATAATGGGAACATTACTCATAGGAGTCAGTTTCAGCAGTAATGTAATTGTAGTGGTTTTACAGTATTTTTTTATGGTTTTATGTTTTAATCACAGTTATCATAATTTGATCTAAATCTAGTCTTTACGTATTTTTTCTTTACTTTTTTATCAGCAAAAGTAGCAAAAGTTTACAAGATTAAACGTTCTCAAACTCTAACGTACTCTAACTTAATTTTTTTAAATCTTAAAATATTTATTAACAATTATTAAATATTAATTTATATATACTGAACAAAATTATAAACGCAACACTTGTTTTTGCTCCCATTTTTCATGAGCTGAACTCAAAGATCTAAGACTTTTTCTAGTCCGAAAACCAGTCAGTTTCTGGTGTGACCACCATTTGCCTCACATAGTGCAACACATCTCCTTCGCAAATAGTTGATCAGGTTGTTGATTGTGGCCTGTGGAATGTTGGTCCACTCCTCTTCAATGGCTGTGCAAAGTTGCTGTGTTCAGTGTATAAATATATTTTTTTGCTTTGAAATGATACGCTTAGTTGAAAACACTATACAGATAAAAGTAAATTGAGTATAGTAGTATTGCTGCATCATGATGTGCCAATAATTTTTCATTTAGTTGCATTGTACAAATTGCTGTTGGATTATTAGCACACTAAAACACAACATGCTGTTTGCACTGTAAAATCCTGTGTAAGTTGTGTTCATGGCTTTTAATGTACTTCAACTTCATCCTCTTTGTAGCACTGCTGCTAAAAATATAAAAGCTGGATGAAACAAACTAGTCAACCAGCATAATAGAAACAGTCCACTAGTTAAATGCCTTGCTAATAGCGTTTCCAGCCAAATACAGGTAGCTCCTCTCTTCTAATCTGTACTCATTTCAGGTAGTTTGGTTGTCTCGTATGGAGATGAGAAGATGTGAATCTCATTAGCTTGTCAGTCTTGTCTTTTACTTCTCGTCTCGTGGGCCTGATCTCTGCGGTGTTGTCAGGTGTCTCTGCGTGCGCCGCACAGATCGGCGGTGGTCCCGCGGCTGTATGGCGTACGCTAAATTAGCCCCCCTAGTTGGGAGACGGCAGATTGGGTTGCCTCTCTGTCCCTTCTCAGCTCTCAGCACAAGTTGTCTACAAATAAAACTCCAGACTTCTAAATCCCCCGTTTTTCATCCTCGCATCCCCCCTTTGTAATAAAGGGCTATTTCCTGTTAGCCGAGTGAAGAGGGAATACGCGAGAGTGCAGCGTCTATCCGAGACCGAGCCGGTAGGAAGGGGCTTTTCCCCCGCAATGGCTTTTCCATGTGATCTTCGAGATGAATGAAGACACATTGTGGAATTAAGGGGAAAAGGGGCTCTGGCTCCCGGCCGCAACTTCAGCTTCCTGCCGCCAAGCAGCTACTGCACTCAAACACTGAGACCCTGCACAGTAGCCTAGAAAGCTGTGTGTGTTTTTAGTGTGC